TTTATGAACCAGATTTTGTTTTGGAAAGTGTTAGTCGATTAATTGTAAGAAGGTTTTGCCTATATTTGTGAGAACGCTTTTATTGTATGGTGGGTTAAATTAAATTCCTTTTTCTTTTACGATTGGGGTTTACTTTGGTATCAATTTTAGGGTATATATATATATATATATATATATATATATATATATATATATATATATATATATATATATATATATATATATATATATATATATATATATATATATATATATATATACATATATATATATAATCAAAAAGTGAATCAAAAAGTATTTTTTTCAGAAAATGTCTCCTGGCACCCCCTAAATGTGTTCTATATAATTAACTAATACTGGATCTTGAATATTTTTGTCAGTAGCTAACAACCCTCGACTAATGAATAGATCCCTTTGATTAAAAAAATAATAATAATAATTTTTGATTTTAGTTATTTAGTACCCAAAACATTATTCAGCTGTTACGGTGATTATCTTAAAAGTTATTTATGTTATTAATATGTACATTATAAAATTTACTTTTAATACAATAAAGGAATTTTTTTGCCTAATTGAAAAATGTATACCAAACAGAAATTTTCTTATGAGGAAAATATTTAAAATCAGAAAATAAGGCGTTTTTGATTTTGAATTGAATTTAATTGTCATAATATCCTTTTAATGGTAGCCAACATCTATTTCTGAAAATTTCATTTACATCGAATTAGCAAATTTTCAGGTATTTACCGCAAAGTCTTAAGTTTTCGAGAACTGAGAAAAACAAATTTTAACAAAAAAAAGTATTTATTATTTCTTGTTTTATATTTTTTATCTTTTTTTACATTACTTTAAATACTAATTAATCAAAGTGATAAGACGAAGGTGTTGTAGTTCAGAAAGCAGCAACTAAAGTTGAAAAGTTTAATAAAACCCACGTAACCAAATGCACCATCAGAATCATCCAATAAACAAAAAGTGGTATAAGATGCAATCACATTTGGTATTTTATATTAAAAAAATATAAAAATACAACTATATTGCAATTTCTTTTTAGCTGTATAGCAACGAAATAAACGAGGCTCTGCTACAAAAAATTATAAAATGTTCTTATAATGCTCTATTAAAATATAGTTTTTAAGAGTTTAAGCTACTTTTTTTCATAATAATTTTTCAAAATAACTTCAAATTTGTAATTTACGATAACTATATTACTTAAAAGTTTTTAACTGAAATAATGATTTTTTAGACTTTTAACAGTGGTTTCTCATTTTAAAAACCGTTATCTTCTGGTCATTAAAATCTAAATTATTAATTTAGTTATAAAACGAAACTCAACAAGACATACTTTAAAAAAAGTTTTTTGATAATATTAATGACCCATTTAATATTCAAGTTCCGTAGCAGCCCCAAAAATTATTCGTTTTTTAAAAAAATTTTAATCCAATATTATTTTATTATATAGAACACATTTAGAATGTGCCAGCAGACAAAAGTACACGCACACACACACACACAAATACACACACATATATATATATATATATATATATATATATATATATATATATATATATATATATATATATACATATATATATATATTTAAATATATATATATATATATATATATATATATATATATATATATATATATATATATATAAATATATATATATATATATATATATATATATATATATATATATATATATATATATATATATATATATATATATATATATATAGTTTATATATATATATATATATATAGTTTATATATTTGTATATATATATATATATATATATATATATATATATATATATATATATATATATATATATATATATATATATATATGTGTGTCTGTGTGTCTGTGTGTGTGTGTGTGTGTATGTGTGTGTGTGTGTTTCTAAAAATTTTAATCCAATATTATTAGTTTTTCTTTAAAATTTTAATCCAATATTTTTTTATTATATAGAACACATTTAGAATGTGCCAGCAGACAAAAGTACACACACACACACACACACACACACACACACACACACACACACACACACACACACACACACACACACACACACACACATATATATATATATATATATATATATATATATATATATATATATATATATATATATATATATATATATATATATATATATATATAATGCATTGTTTATCTCATAGGCTGGCGTAAATTAGCTTAGGGTGTTGAACGTTAGATCTTCTTGACTCAATGCAGGAGTTTTTGCTTGTGTCTAGAATGTGCCAGCATTCTAGACAGAAGCAAACAAAATATAAAATTTCCAGCCAGCAAACAAATAATAAAATTCCGAATTGCTTACTAAAACAATCCGAAATGTTTACATTCCTTACTCAACTTAAGTCTTATTTCTGATCTTTTCGCATTCATCCTTAAAGACTTCTAATTATTAATTGATTGCTTTAATATTATTATCTCATTCTTCGTCATCATCAAAATCTCCCTATAATTGTACCTCTTTCTATTACCGTAATGCTGACTGGGACTCTTTCTAGAACTTTTTTCATGATAGCTCTTGGATAGAAATTTATCGTTTTTCTGTTGAAAAATGTACGTTTTATGTAACTTTTAGGATTTGGGCGGGCATGGAATTTTTAATCCCTCCTGACGATTCCTAGACAAGCCTTTCTCTTCTCTATGGCTTTCCTGTTATTGTGCTGCTTCAATTTTCAAATAATATCCCAAACCATTACCTGTATTTATATTGCCAAAATAGTTCTTCGGAAAGCAGATGTATGTTTACTCTTGCTAGAAATCATTATAAAGTGATATTTTCTAACGCAAAAGTCCACTTTTCTCAGGTCATGGGAATATTTATTTTATATCAAAAGGCTCCTAAGACTTATAAAGAGTTTTAAACAGTGTCTATAATATGTGGAAATCTGTTATTCCCTGTCTCTTGCATGGTTCAGATTTTGTTGCCTTACCAAACGACAAAATTGTATTGTTTGCTAAAAAGTTTTCATCAATATCCTCTTTTGATTCAACTAATCTCATCCTACCTGTCATTCATGGAGTGATACTAATGTATCAATCCTGCTTCTGTACCTAAAATAATTTCGTGCTTAGACTCTTGTGGTCACACAGCTTGTGGTCCGTACAACATACCTGTTATAGTTTTGCAAAAATGCTCTACGGAGTAGTTGCCGGTACTTTTAATGCTATTTGATAAGTGTTTATTAGAGTTTGTTTTCCCGCTGTCTGAAAAACCTCATCTGCTATCCCTATTTTTGAAAATTTTGGAGAGCAATCTGGCTTGTCTAACTATCATCCCAAAAGGTTTTTTACTATCATAACCAAGGTTTGAGTCATTGATTAATAAACTTATCTTTAGCATAATAACTTACTTTCTAAAGATCAATATGGATTTTGATCTTCTCGTTGTACTGCTGACTTGTTTACGGTAAAAACTAATTAGTGTTTTTGCGCATTAGAGAGATGTGAAGAGGTTAAAGCTTTTGCTTTTAACATTTCTAAATCCTCTGATAAAATTTAGCATGATGGTCTTCTTCTTAGGCTTTCTTCTTACGGTGTATTAGGTAAAATCCTTTAGATTATTGAACTTTCCTTCAATAATCCTAAGGAATATTGAACTCTCCTTACCAATCGTAGTATAAATATTGTTCTCAATGGAAAGTGCTTTTCTTCATTTTTTGTGACCTTAGGGTTCCTCAAGGGTCAATCGTTGACCCTATACTTTTTTTATTTTAAATTAATAATCTCTTTGAAATTCTTACATTTTAGATGTCATTATTTACTATTCTACCATTAATTCTTGTCTTCATAAGAACCCAAAACTCTCTGGTTGCTTGGAGCGGGTATTTCATCTTAAAAAGGATCTCCCTTCTGTCACAGCATAAAGCTCTCAGTGGCTGTTGAATTTTAAACCAGATAATTATTTTCAGCTCATTATTAATGCAACAAACTAGATCTTCTTATAATTATGAACGGTAATCTTCTCAATGAGCAATCTACCCTTTGTTTTCTTGGATTAACTTTTACTTCAGATCCCTCTTGGGAACCATATATTAAATCGATTAGAAAATTAAAATTTGTTAAGGTTGCATCTCTTTATTGTGGTCGCCTTTTCCTTACGCTGGATTCTATTCTTTACCTTTACAAATCTAAAATCCGTCGTTAAATAGAACACTGTTGCCATATCTAAAACGGATCTTTAAATGATTTCTTTTCTGTTTTAGACGAGGTGCTAAAATCGATTTTAAATAAAGTTGGACCTGCCTTGCAGCTTACCTTCAACCATTGCAACACTGTCGTAATGTTGCTTCTCTTTCTCTTTTCAATAAATTCTAAAATAGACAATGTTTTAAAGAGCTAACGTTTTTTGTGCCATCTACTAAAGTTCATTTTTGTGTAACTTGTCATTCAATTAAGTGTTTTTACTGTGAATGTTTCTAAGTACACCAATAAATTTCTTTCTGATTTGGAATTTTTCCCTTTATTGTGTTTTTCTGATGCATATAATTTGCAATCATTTAATTCATCTTTTATTTGCTGTGTTACTTTTGAAACTTTATCCTTTCTCTTCCAGAATTTTTGTTATCTTAAATAGTAGTTCTTGATTGCCTTGCTGGTGTGAAGATTATATATATATATATATATATATATATATATATATATATATATATATATATATATATATATATATATATATATATATATATATATATATATATATATATATATATATATATATATATATATATATATATATATATATATATATATATATATATATAATCACATATATATATATAATATATATATATATATATGTGAAGATTTTGTATATATATATACATATATATATATATATATATACATATATATATATATATATATATATATATATATATATATATATATATATATATATATATATATATATATACATGTTTATTGATAGGTTTATGTATATAAAAAACTTTATTAAAACAGGTGTCGCGCAATACGCATCAAAGTGGTTTAACACTGAATAATCATGAAGATGTTGGTCAAGAAGTGAGAAATGAATGTGAAGAAGTATTTAATTCAATAAAAAAAACGTTTATACAAAACAAAAAAGTATAACTTTGATTTTGATTTTATGCATAACTTTTAGAAATTTAAGTTTAGTAGCACTCCTATGGATTTAGGTAATAAATCTTCAATATTTTAAATATAAGACAAACGTAATAAGATTTACACACAAACAGTGTGTGAATTTCTTAATAATCAAAATGTCATAGTAATTGCTGAATATGTTGCATTAGTTTTGAATGGAAGGATCATTACGTAGTTTAGATAAGATAAACATTGTTTGACGCAGTTATTGCATTTTTTTTTTATTTTATAGACATGATGTTTTTCGATCAATAAATATACATTTTATATAAAAATCAAAGTTTTTTACTAACCATAACTTTCTCTCCTTTAAAAGAACCATAAGCCATCAAAATATGAAAAGTGAAGTTACGGCTTTGTTATATTATTATTATTATAATTTTTTTTTTTTTACTATAATAATTCTTTACAATAAAATTTGAGTAGGACAAGTGTGAGTAGAAGTGGGAAAAATAAATTTAAAACAACATTTTAACACAAGTTTTTAAATAGAAACCGATAAAATCATAAAATCACCTGATTGACATAAAAATGTTTAACAGCTTTAACCAATTGAAATAATCAAATGGCGACTGGAAGATGTGGGACAAAGATATTTATTTTTTCTGTCCCACTTCACCCCAATGTAAGCACTTTTTTACAATAAATTTAAAAGTTAGAGCTTCTAGCGCATGCAGAGAAATAAAGCAATTTCTGCTAAGTATAATAAAAGAAGTTCAAATGTTTACATTAAATAACAGTGTTTTGGCACCACTCCTAATCAGAAATTTCAGGTTTTCCCACTTCTACCGCGTTTTACTTTCCCCTGCAATAATATAAACTTTTTCATAACATTGTGTATATAATTTTCATATTATTGTGTATATAATTGTGTATATAATATATTCAAAATATGTTTTACATGCATGTGTAAAGAAGAAATGAAAAAAAATCTGTATACTATAAAGCATATAGAGTGCTATAGACTGCTTTATAGTATACAGAGTTTTTTTCACTCTCTTTTAGCAGAGCTACATCGTGAAAAACAAGGACAGATAAACAAACAGAATAAAAACATAGAAATAAAAATCTGTTGAAACTTTTAATAAAACTCATATAAAAACATATAATACAAGTTATTTAAGATTATTTAGAAAAATTACTATTTAGATGTAACTATATTTTCTGGATTCTTGATTTGAATTGCTAAAAATTAAGGTAGTTTGGGGTAAGAATAATCGAAAGTATGTTGGGGTAAGAATTAACAAAAAAAATATTAGTAAAGGGTTTAGCAACGTTTTTTATTTTCCATTTATTAAAAGCTAAAACAAAAACTCTTTAAAAATGCGAGGGATAATTTTGTAAAAATTTTTGTGCTCCGTCCAAAGCTGTTAAAGTTATTTTTAAAAACTATTTTTTGCCATAGTAAACTTTGAAACATCTCCCTAGTAAAACTTTTTTTCTTTTTCAAAAAAAAAAATTTTTTAATTTTTGGAACTAAAATTAAATTTTACTCAAATAAAAAGACTGTTTTGTATAAAATTTTATGAATTATTGAATTTGCTAGAGCTGGAAAAAGGGTTTGAGGAAAAAACCAATATAATTTTTTTTTTGCTTACAGTTATGCAATAAGAAAAGCGTGACTTAACTAATTAATAATTATCAAGTATTTAAAACTTAAAAAAACACGATAGTTTTTGCTATCTATCTGAATATTTTCAAAGCAATTATGATATATAATACTTGAACTTACATTCGTAAAACAGAAAAAACTTTTACTGAAGAGCAATTATAAGTTGCAGTAAAACAAATCAAAAAAGACGAAATAAGACTCATTGAAACATCAGAGGCATTTAATATACTAAAGGTAACTCTTCATAAGCGTGTGGATAACAAAGTCCAATTACCTGGTAAAGGTACAACAACCGTGCGGTGCAACGTTTGAGTGTGTTCTTGTTGTAGTATTTATTAGTTTAGACGATTGCGGGTTTAGCAGAACGTTTGTAAAAGTCATCGCAATAGTTAGGATTGTTTAGTATCTACAAATCTAAGCCATCTATTTCCACCAAACGGAATACCAAAGCGAGAATGGTATCAAGGTTTTATAAAACGTTGGAGTCATAAATTAGGTATCAGAGTAGCAGGCAATATTTCTTTTCTTAGAGCTTCATCTTGTACCGAGGACAAAGTAACAAATTATTTTAATACAATTTAAAAACAATTTTTTGAAGCAATCATCAACAACACTTCGTGCATTTTATAAAGTTTTGACGAAATTAAATTTTTAGGCAATCAAAGTAAACAGTATATAATTTGCAGGCTTGGTATTAAATACCTTTAAAAATTGGTGATAACGAAAAAAAAATATTACGCAATCGTAATTGTGTCAATGCTAACAGTACCATTCTGTCACCATTCGCAGTTTACAAATCAATCTCACATCTGTATAAAGACTGATGTGTAGGAGGGTTACCAAACACCGTATTTACAAAATCCAAGTCACTCGCTAAAGTATTCATACCGGCAATCAAAGTAGTTTCAAGTATTTAGCTTGGCCGACTTTAATTGAGTAATTTAATTGATAAATCAAATATTCAAACAGTTTTTTAAATTACTGTTATTCCTATTTTAGTTACGATGTTACACGCATTTAAGTTGACAATAACATCAGGCTGATATGTTTACCGGTTGATTTGTCCCACATACTTAAACTGTTAGACATAGGTGCATATTCTCACGTTAAATAAGTTTTGCGTTAATTACCTCAAGAATTTTATGCAGCTATAAATTTCAACAACTTAACAAAAGAAAGTTTCATTTGACAGCAAGCAAAACTTTGTAGCTGCATTAACGCATTTACACGAAGATAAATAATTGCTGGATTTACATATACTGGTTTGTTTACACTGATATTAGCAGAGTTAATCAATCAAAATTACAAAACACTGAAACATATCAAATTCCAACTCAGCCCTCTTCCTCATCTTCATTCAAGCCAGTTTCACTATCCTTAATTGACCCTGCTTCATCATTCTCATCCCAGCTTTTATCATCATCTAACCAGTAGTGGGTCTAGACTTTAGTAAGTGAACCAATTGCTAAAGTCAGCTCAGAATTTTTTTTTAATTTACTACATAGGTACATTTGTAACTACATTGCTTTTTTATGCAAAAGATAAAAGTAATTTATACAAGATACGGAGGTTATAAGTTATCAAAATGTGATGCCTCAAAAATTTATTCAAAATTGTAGCGGAGCAAAGTTAACTACGAAATTTCGAATACGAAAAGTCATTAGAAATAATAAAATGCTTAACTGAAAAACCGATGTTTTCAACGGGTTTTGTCACCCAAGCCCATAAATTTTTGACAGAATGTCAAACATTTCGCAGCGTGCCAACTTAAAATGAACTTGGAGTTAGGTAAAAAGCAAAATGACAGTAGCAATTACAGTAAAAGTCAATTTGTCATGTTTTGAAAAAATGTGCACCTAATTATTTGTTATACATTATATCTATTTAGCTGCAATCTTTTTTTAACAAGGAGTGTCTAAAATACATCAAACAAGAACCAGTAGCAAAAACAGAATTTGTGCAGCAAAGACATAAATTTTGTTAAATATGCACTCTCCGTTTATAAAACTTTTTTCAATGAAATGGATAGCAATCATTAAATGAAAACAATCATTTTTTAATTATAAAGACTAAATTAAATAGTCTGTTTCTTTGCTTATACTATGCTTCTTCTTTATTTAGTTTAATATAAAGATGTTGAAATTTGTTTATGTGCAGGAAAAATGGTGAAATGTGTTTAATGCCGTTCTACAAGTTATTTATCATTGAAGAAGTCGAACGATTGAAAAACGTTTCAAAAAATATATAGGTTTTCTAGAAACAAAGAAGAAAACACGATAGATAAAATGTTTACCTAATGCGAGTTTTAAACCGTTTAGCAACACTTTAGTGTATGATCAAGTTGGCACCAAAACTTCAAAAGATTAAACAAAAATAACTTTCTGGACAATTTTTTCTCACAAATAGATTTTCAGTTTATTCAAAAATTGCATAAAATTTTCTACTGCTTTTTTTTTTCTACTTTGAAAATTTCTACTAGGAACAGTTATTCTCTGTGACAAGGTGAATGTTTCAAAAATGTTATTATATCTGTAAGTTGCTGTTTTTGGACAACAAATGATTTGAATTCACTTTCAAAAAGTGTTTAAGATGTTTTGATAACTTGTAATACGAGTTGTTTGTTTGATGGTCCTGAATTTCTCTTAAAAATGTTGTGAAAACCTGTAAACAAATGAATTTCTAGTTTTTATATGCTTAAATTCATTTAACTCTAGAGTCATTTAACAAAGCAAATCAATCATATGAGATAAAAATTTAACTCTAAAATTTTATGAAAAAACTTCATCAACTACAGATGGAACTCTGTTGGTGTTTGACTTTGGTTCTCTTTATCAAAAACAAACGATATAATAGACTCAGAAAGGAAGTTATTTTTCTGATAATACTTACAATGCTCTTCTAAATCACCCTGAAACATATAATATCTCAAACTTTAACAAGATTGCCAATTTTATTAAGCTTGCTATTACATAATGAAAAAGTTTTAATGTAAAAAGTGTGGGCTTATATTTCAGGTTCATTAATGATCAACAAGCTTCCTCAGAGATCTAACTGATAAACAAAGAAATTTGTAATGGATTTTAGCGATACAGCATTATGCACGAAAAAAATCTTAATATAGGCATAAAATATCAACACGTAACTCAAGGCATTTCACAAACTATACACGTGATGATATAGTCTAACTGATTAAAACGCTATTGTGAGAAAAACTCTTGTTACAAATTTGTTATGTTAGGAAACTTTGCTACAGAATTACCTAAGAGAAAATTTTAAAAGCTAAATAAAGTATCTGTAGACACATTTTTTAAGTGTTCTCTGAAACCAACGATGTAACTAAGTTGTTTTAAACAAAAAACCATCATAATTAAGTTTGTCTCGTTAGGTTGACATTTATTAATTGAGATTTGTTAATTGTAATATGCATGAAAAATGCTGTTTTTTTTATTTTTAAAGCATTACCTATTTATTTAAAGCAATATATTTTTATTGAAAAAGTTTAGTTACTTTAATTCTATTTTTTATTTGATTTTTTATTTATTTTTATGAAGTAATGAAATTTATTATTATAAATATGAAAATATTTTTAAATTGTTTTTGTGAATTTATATAAATCGTTACAATATCTAATTTTTTTTCAGATATTTTATAAAGGAAGCTATTAAACAGAAAGATCATGTGTTTTAAAAAAAATTTAAATTAAATTTAAAAAAGTTAAATTTTAAACATAATTACATTAAGTCTGTCATTTTCATTTTCAAATATCAACCCTCAATAATTTTTTTGCAGACCAAAACATGCTTTTAAAACCACAAATATTTTATTGATTTAAAGATATAGATAAATCTCAACCTTCCAAGAGTTGAAGGCCAGTGTCTGAGTACATCTAAGGTGATCGAGAAACTAAAGCAAGTCGATGAGGCTAAAAATTCAAAGCAGTTCAAGAAACGTTAGATTGATTTCAGTAAAGCTTCAGATAAAACTCAGCATGTGCAACATTCAAAAATACCGAGACAAAACAAAGACATCAAGAGGTTTATAAAGTGTCGCAGATTTTTGGAAGAAACATTGTCAATTCAAAAAACATTTAGTACAAATGGAAAGCGTTTAGCTGCAAGTTTTAGTTTGTCGATTATGCTTGCCCAAAAAATACAAAATTTGTAAAAAGTTCTTCTGAACAAACTGCGGCGGCCTACTTTTGACAATGAAACAATTTGAATTTATTTAATTAATAAATAGTTGGTTGGTTTTTTTGTATATTTGATTAAAATTAAGGTTGTTTTTTGTAAACTATACTTCTAATAAGATAAGCGTTCATTTTTATTTTTTTGTAATTAACTTTGCTTGATTTTCTTATTATCTCAATTAATTGTTGTAATAATTAAACTAATTTACTTTTTCCCAATTGTAAGGGAATAAGAAAATGTTTCTATTATTTATAAAAATCAGTTCTTTGAAAATTTTAAAAATATATTTTTTTCAATTTTATATGTTAAATTTATGCAAAAAGTTTTCTCTATAGATAAAAAAACCAAATAAAACCAAAAAAAGCTATAAAATAACTTTAATTTAAAAAATTATTGAATTTGAAGGTAAACCATTTACCCTTGCGTCAGTTTACTTCTTTTATCTAAGTTTTTATATAATAATTTATATTATATCTTAATTTAGAAAGCGCTTGTTGCTCTTGTTTTTATTGTCCTCATTTTCATCATTGCTTGTGTTACCGGTATGTTTTTTTTTTGAGTATTATATTTTTATATGTAGACTTTAAATTTTAAACTGTGCATCTACTTTTTTTACTTTAACGACAACACAGTCTTAAATTATAGCTTTATTACAGCAACAATTCTGTTTTAGATGAGCTTTTGATAAGATTTTTAGGTATAAAAGAAATTACAAACTTTTGAAATAAGAATCCTTTTTTTTTTCTGTGACTGACTATGCAATCAGATTAAAAATGATGAACACATTACAATAATATAAGTCCACAGTTTGGTTCGGCCTAAAACTCTTTGAAATCTGAAAGTTCTACCATAAAATAGAAAATGCAAACTTTACATTTTATGTAAATATCAAATAACGGGAAAAACCTTTAATTTATCAAAACACTCTTGAAAATAACAACAGTTAACTAATAATTTTGATGTATTTTTTTGTGACTGTTATGAATTATTCAATTCATTTAACTACGTGGATAGAAAAAGTGTTTATTTAGACAACACTTAATGAAAAAATGAATTAATTCAGAAACTATATTAAATAATAAACAGAAAAAGCATAACAAACTTTAAAAAGTTGCCACAGTATAATTACAATTTAAAGCATCTTAAACATTTTTTTATCTAAAATCTGTTTAGCCGGTTCTCGATGATAATATCTTATGACCTTCTGCGAGTATCTGCGTTCTCATTGTAAAGTCAATAAAATTTGTAACTCTTATTGTATGTATTTTATTCATTCACAAAAAGTAAATTAAAAAATTTTAAAATAAAAAATCAAAATGCCTCTCAATCTTTCTAAATATTCTAAATCAATAAAAAAACTTTCGGTAGGATAATTTTTATTTTTCCGCTACCAACTTTCGGTAGGCTATTCACGGCGTATTTTAAAAAATAACGTTTTAAGATATATTTGTGTGAAAAAAGAAAAAAACGAATTTCAAGATGGATGCAAAATTCTGCGTAGTAAACGCAAATGCTCTTGTTTATATCATTGAAAATTTGATTTTTCCACTGATGGGCCAGTATTGGCTCAATGTCTGTTTTTCTGGCTCCGCAAATTTTTGTTGGACTATTAATGGTTTTTTTGCGGCTACCCAGCCCAGGAAATTTTATCAAGGCTCAGCAATCGGCTTCCTAGAACTGGCAATACAAGAACGGAACTTTATCGTGCCTTTAAAGAATTCGCTGGCATTGGCTAGCCATTATAGGACCAGTATATACTAGTTGTCTGGGTATATACGTTTTTTTGTTTTTTCAAAATGTTTCAGAATGGTAATTTTGCAGCTACTGATTATTTTATAAGTAGGGCAACATAAGTCTATACCATCAATAATATATTGACATAAGTCAATATATTTTGTTTATAAAATACAAAAAATCCACTTAATTTTACGTTTTATTCAGGATCTTATATAATATAAGTAAACCTTGCTAATAATTACAAGTCTTTTTTGCTTAAGCAGTTTTGTTTTGATTTTTGTAGGTGTTTGTCTAAACATAAAACTATACATAAAGTTTGTTGATTGAAAAAAATTTATATTAATTTTATCCAAAAAAGATCGTATCAGATTCCCTTAAAAAGACGCGCTTTAGAAATTAATAATATGTCAATGCTACTGACCACATGAACTAATACAGACCATCTTACAAAACCAATAATACGCATATACTTAGTTAATGCCACTTTTGACGAAATAACGTTCAACTGCAGATAAAAAATCTTTAACTGTTTAAGCTTTTATCGCACTCAGAGTTAGGTTATTGCACATTTTTACAACTCTATGTTTAAAAAAATTTTTTTGCTGTGAAAAACCGGGCGCTAAATTACACATTAATCTTTCTCTATAACCCCAGGTTAGCCCCGCTGGACATTCGATTCTAATTAAACAAGCACGTAGTGGTTCCTTTTGCCAAGTGATGAGATCAAAACCACGGATAAACTTAATATATTGAATAAAATCAGCTCTTGTTCTTCTTAATTCAAGTGTTGTTAAACATAGTATCTTGAGTCTTACATCGTATGGTAAGTGCGCTATTTCAGAAATAACTTTTATTGCTCTTTTTTGAATGCGGTCAAATGTTCTTATATCCTTTTTTAAATAGTGTGACTATGCTTGTGTAGCAAACTCAATGTGCGGGCGGACCTAGAAAGTATAAAAAGGCTAAAAAGACAGAGAGATAACCCTCTACTTTTAAATGTTATTTTTAGGGTACCAAGTGCTTGATTTGCTTTAGCAGCAGCTGCTTCGACTTGATTTTTTATTTAAGGCCATCGGAAATCAAAACGTCATATATGTAATATATTTTTATGGGATATATTCAAATTAAAACAAAAACTATTTATTTATTTCTGTTGAACTAAAAACAATCTCTTATCGTGAAATGATATATCTGCACCAGTTTTATATATTTTTATGCAAGTGTATGCAACATAATTAAAATTATTCAAAAAATGTTAAATAAATGCAAAAGGAAATTTGACGCATAAAAGATTACTTTGTCACAAATCAATGCGCAAAATGTTTTTGTGTAAACTTTTAGATTAGCGTTTAATATTATCCTTTAGTTTTCAATCTTAATCATAAGAATAACATTTTTTTATGACTATGTTTTAGTGGTCTAAGATTTTCTTAGTTTAATTTGTATAGCGTTACGTACAAACGTCTGTAAGTGTAAACGTCTGTAATCTCATTTTTGACTGTTTTTTCCAAAATTTAAGAGAGATATTTATATAATGTAATTATCAATCATTTATCTTCAAATAACATACTGCATCAAAATCAATACGGATTTAAAAAAAGTAATTCAACCAAAAATGCTATACTCAAAATTACCTGCAATATTGCTGATTCTTTTGAAATATTTTTATATAAGTTAAGTGTTTTCATCGACCTATCAAAACCCATTGATACCATTGACCAAAAAATCCTATTCAAAAAAATAAAGTACTATAGAATTAATGGAAATAATTTAATGATACTTAAAAGTTATGTACCGTAATCAGTTTAGTTACTGCAATACAACCGTATTCAGTATTCTGTATTCACTAAACTGGTTAAAACCGTAATCAGTTTAGTTACAATAATACAAACGTATTCAGTATTCCGTATTCACTAAGCTGATTACAACCGTAATTATTTTATTTACAGTAACACAACTGTCTTTTCCATTTTAGTAGATATAACATGTGGAGTCCCTCAAGGTTCTATATTCTCTTTTTATAATTTACATTATTGATCTCCTTAAAAAAGTCGCTTACAGCTGATTCGTTTTTTAGTCGCAATACGGGAAAAATGTGAATAGTATTTCGCATTAATACTTTTGTTGTTATTTTAAGATTTTATGGACCTCGTTATTCTAAGTCTTAGAAAGAGGGAAAAAAGTTATCCTTGTGAATACAAACGTTACAGAATGAAACAAGCACGTTTAATGGGGCAATCATACATAAATCATAAGGGAAATGAAGTTCCACCAAAAAACCCTATATTTACTTGCAGGTAAGTTTCAACATCATATATATATATATATATATATATATATATATATATATATATATATATATATATATATATATATATATATATATATATATATATATATATATATATATATATATAATTTTAGTATATTTTCATGTAAGCATGAGACTTTTGTAAACGTTAAATTTATGATAAGTTGAAAATGATTTAAATAGACTATACAGTATATATATATATATATATATATATATATATATATATATATATATATATATATATATATATATATATATATATATATATTATCGTACTATAGTATATTTCCCCACAACTTTGGTGGCAATGTTGTTCTCTGCCTAAGATTATAAAAAGTTCTGTGTAATTTAGTAAAAACCTTTTTTAGCTTGTATAAATTTTTTATTAATTTTTCTGATTTTTATTTTAATGTACAAGAAAAAGTGTTTAGAGAACTTTGGAGAGGCTAACTGTGTGGATATCTTTTCCAAATTTTATGATATAAAAAGCAAAAACAAACAAAGGATTTTTTTATTCAAGGAATAATAGATGTCACTAAAGTTAAAAGAAGAGTGCTTCATCAAAAGGATCTTAAAAATCCAAAGCAGCCAAATAGCTTTTCCTATCATGTGATTGTAGGCAATGTACGCAAAGAGATATGTTGCTGTGTTCTTCTATCTGTCTTAAGTATTAGTGAAAAACGATTACAGAGATTAAGGAACCTTAAGGTAATTGGAATAACCCCTGAAGAAAAAAGAGAAAAAGGTATTAATAATTGTCTCAGAATGTTCATGACATTGCTAGTATCTGCCTCAGATTGTTCATGACATTGTTATTAATTACATAAGATCATTTCCATTCAAAGAATCACATTACTCAGGGATAAAGGTATATTACTTCAACGCAAGTTTAAATGTAAAAGCAATGTGGCAACTTTTTTGTGAAAAAAATTCAGATTTAAAAGTGAGCAAGTCTTTTTACTGGAACCATTTTAAAACTAATTTTAATTTACGGTTTGGGCGCCTACAAGTGGATACTTGTTGCACGTGTGAAGAATTAAATCTTAGATTGAAATTACCACATCTCAGTGTAGCTAAAAGAGCAGCGCAGACTGATTTAGATTTTCATAGGCGCAGGAGTAATAAATTTTACATTGCTTTAAAATATGAAACATCAGAAAATGATTTAAAAGAGGAGCAGATTCTATCATTTGCATTTGGCTATATGAAGACAATAAACTTGCCAAAAATACCTGTCCAACAAATTTATTATATGAGAAAGCTATCAGTCAATGTTTTTTTCTATACATAACATTAAAGAAGAAAAAAGTCATGTATATATATACCATGAAGGTCAAGGAAGAAAAGGGCCTAATGAAGTTGCAACTTTTTTTAAATGATTATTTGATCTCAGTTCCATCAAAGTATAATACATTACGTTTGTTTTGTGACAACTATAGTGGGAAAAATAAAAATCAGACCTTATCACGTTTTTGTTTATACTTAATCGAC